TTTAAAATTCCAACTGATTTATTGTGAAATAAAATTATAATTTTTCTGGCAATATGTTGAGAAATTTTAATTTGATTTGGTTGATATGTAAATAATGTAATGTTCTAAGTGGACCGCTGCTCACAATCGCTAGTGCTTAATTGCAGTGTACTTGAGTTACACAGCCTGAATGAATAAATAAGCCTGCCCGCTTTTTATTCCATTGGATTTTTCATTTTTAATATCAACTGCTTTTTTAAATTATTTGTTTATGTAGCAATTTGCTAACCATTTTTACAACTATGTTCAATTCACTACTAAGTACGTTGTTGAATGATTCATGTTGCAATTGCAAATATTTCAGTTTTTAGTTTTACCTGTTGTAGAGGTAGACTCATGGGCTGTAGCGTAGGCGAGGGGTCTGCATTGCAAACTGTCTGCGGTAAATGTGTTAATTATGTTTGTATTTGACTGCTCGTTAACTTCGATGAAAACGTTGTCTTGTTATTTCAAATACTTTCATAATTTTTCATAAATAGTCGGTAATTCCAAAAGTGCTGGATTTAATGACGACATGGCAATTGTAGCGTTTACGTCCCATCATTTAAAGTGGAGTAGAAATCTGCATAGTATATATTTTTCTCTCTGAAAAACTTTAAAATTTTTGTTGCTTTAAATAAAGGAAATATTTTTATACGTTGCTAAATAATACACACACATCAGTTGGAATTTTAATATATATATATGAATATATATATATATATACATATATATATATATATACGTGCCTATACATGTTTATAATTACAACTTATGTTTGTATTGTGCACATGTATATATATATATATATATATATATATATATGAATATATATATATATATATATATACATACATATATATATATACGTGCATATACATGTTTATAATTACAACTTATGTTTGTATTGTGCACATGTAGAGATACAAGTGTTCGAGAGCATATATATAGGCCGATGATCTCGTTGGAAGCATGCGAAGGTATTTGCATTTAGCCGAACGTTCGAGTGTGGTACACCATGTTCACTTGAGAGAAGAAGAGCAGAGATAATGTTGCAGCGGCAGATCAGTTAATGAGAGAACACAAATGATATTCAAATTTCAATTTTGGAAATTTAAAACAATGAAGTAGCGCGAAGTTACTAGAAAAAAACATTCTCAAAGAAAAAAGTCTGAAGAGCACTGAAGATCAACCTCGAGACCAACAGACAGACTAGCGTAAGAACGGCTAACAACATCACAGACAACCAACCAGTCAGTCAGTCAGTCAATCAGTAATCAAAACGATGAGGAGGGTGGTAATTGTGGTCACTTGTTTGTTAATCACCTGGATGCTAATTTTTATCGTCCACCTCCTGAAAATTATTGTCCTCGGCTGTTTGAGGAACTTTTTCTCATTTCAATACTCTTCTCAGGAAAAGGAAAGTAAGTCACGAATTATATTACCAGTTATTTGACATACAATCTGTAATTTTTATTCATATTTAATGTCAAATCATGCAATCACTCAACGCAACAACTACGCGTTTCAAAAAAATGTTAAAAATATAAAGTTCGACGCTACTGGCAAACATGCCAGCAACTTGAACATCTTAAAATAGCATTTGCATAAATTAAAAATTTCCTTTGTACAGAAGATTATCATAAGATGCGCACTTTTAAACCAACAAAGTGTAATATATAAAGATAAACGTTTGTCACATAGGACACAAATAAATAACATGTGCAATTTAAACAAAATAAAAGCGGTTTATAACAACATTCATTGAAACAAATCGCCCGACCAGATATGATGTAAAAAACTTATTTGACTCGATTAAAAGCAAAATTGATGAGTATTAATCTGAATACAATTTGACAGGGTCACCAGCTGAACTGGTCCACATGTTGACGCAGAAGAACATTCTTGAAGCAGACAGGCGCGTGAGAAGCCTGCGCAGAAGATGGGCCTGAATTTTATTTACTTTTTATTATTTACGCACGTATCGATTGCTCACATTTCAATGTTTGTCAACAGATATACTATCGTGTTAATGTCTTCACATCACCTCATCCAATCTGAAGTGTCGTAACGTATGATTGTGGTTATCATTACATAATTTTTCAACTTAACTATTATGTATTTGCAAAGAGAGAGAGAGAGAGAGAGAGAGAGAGAGAGAGAGAGAGAGAGAGAGAGAGAGAGAGAGAGAGAGAGAGAGAGAGAGAGAGAGCAGAATAGAAAGAGACTTGATGGAGGGAGAGAGATAGAACGACAAAAGTTTTTTTTATGATGGCTGAATGATAAAATGTATTTATCAATTGAAGATTTAACCTGCAACATACGTTTAAGCGTTGGATATTTTTTAATGTTTTGTCATGTAGTTTATATTTTTCTGGTACCAATTATTTATCAATAGCGGTTTATATGTGAATTGATGAATTTATCATGTGACTCCATAAATGGGATATGATCTGAGACAGTTTCATTGTTTGAATATAACTTAAGCACATACACGTACACTATCTACTAACTTTCATCATTCTAAGTTCTTGCTTGGTTCCATTGATGACAACAAAGCTTTAACAAGTTTCGGATTGTTGTTTTTGTGTGCTTGTGTGTGTCTGCATTTATGGGATCAATAGCGGTACAAATTGAGTGAAAGAGTGAACAAATTTAAACATCTTTCCAATGTAAGTGATGATAATTAATTCTTTTAATTTCCAAGAACTGTTGTTACTGGCGTTATTTTGTTAATGTACATCATTATTAAGTAAACACCAGTTTTTCTAACAACTATCTTAAAGTATTCCAATAAAGTACTTTATTTTGAAGAGCTATTTATAAATGCCAGACTTTAATTTTTAAACAAATAATTTTTGTTAAAGCACTCGTAGTAAAGATAATTAATTTATTGCATCGTGCTGCAATTTCTTTATGCTGTAAAATGAGTCCATACTCCATACCATAGTTGAGAATGATGCAACTAATGTCAACCTGTCACTAGCTATCTGTCGGTACTTGAATTTGAAGCATCGTACGACTATTAATTTTTGATACATGTGATTATTATCACCTGATGATAACTAACACAACAATTACTAATCTCACTAAATTTGTTAAACATTTTCGCCTACCTTGTTAACTCGTCACTTTTTTCTTATCATCCTATGCTGAAGATAAGATTCACTTATTTTCTGATCAAGCCGATTTTTGGACCATGTATCCAATCTTAAAGTCGAACGCGTGAACTTTTTCGTAGACGTGGATAAAAGTTTTGATAAAAATAAAATAAACTGTCAAACGGAAATTTTCTTAAAAGAAATCATTTTAACGGATAGAAATTAACCAAAGAGATCTCATAACTCAAGTTCATGATCCCATTAAAAAAACTAATGAACTTAGTAATTATGTTCTATATCATTAGATGGTAATCACATCACATGCATGAACAACCAAGAGTCGTACGATGCTAAAGATCAATTTGACGAAAATTCATGCTGACTTTCCTAAAGACACATGAAAAATGTGAAAATTAAATAAAATTAAAAAAAATTAAATAAAATTGACCAAAATTAAATGTCGTACAAACAGCAAAACTTCATAATTTTTCATCATAGTTTGTTCGAAAATTGTACAAGTTCCACAGAATAGAGATGCTATATGCTACAACAAGAAAGTTTCCTAACACTTAAATCAATTTTAGAATGCGATAATTGGATGCTATTTTTAAACCAGCAAATTTGATGGACAAAGAACTTGGAATCACGTGTTTATTTCATAGACGGCTTCCATTTACAAAAATATAGACCTGAAAATAATTTTACACGTAAATTACATGCAAGTAAATGTCATTGATCTGACGAGGCACAACATCTGTCTACTCCAAATTAATACGTTCAATATAGAATTATATATATATATATAATTGTATAATTATGTATATATATATATATATATATATATATATATCTGTATGTGTGTGTGCGCGTGTGTGTGGTGTGAAAACCAATTATAATCAATCAATCATCATTTAAATATTCAATAGGTAGATATAGACAATTCTTATGTAGTTAAATATAAAAAAAATTTCGTCATTAAAGTTTTCATATAACTGATTAAGTTTATATCAATATAAACTCGCAAAAATATTAAAATAGAGGCGAGCAGTAATGATCTACGTCACTCTGGATCGTTATGAAAACTTTTTTGAAAATCGTGAGAAAAAAAATCCACAAAAATCATAAGTTAAAAATACATAATCACATAATTTAACTGAAAAATATAAGCAAATTATATTGAAAAATTGTTTGATTCTTTACAGATGGACCTAATCGCCCCGCAGAAATGCAATTAATGTTATGGGTACTTATTTCATCTTATTAATCTTACCACCAAATATATTTGATTATTTTTTGACTCCATTGAACGGTTGTTGGTAGGAAAAAATTGGTAATGTCCTTTTGGGGAGATTTAACACTAATCATAAAAGTTGAATAAAGAAGCTTACAACTGATTAGTAACAATTATACGATTTATTTTTTCGTAAATAAATTTCATACGATGATAAACCAATAAATTAAAAGAACTAATAACATGTTGTATACAGATGCTGAATGAATTTTCACAAGAATCGTAAGAGAAGTAATCCTTAATATAATAAACTGATTGAATATGTGAATAAAATTTTTCAAAAATCACATCCGACGCAAATGTTACAAAATATACATTGCACCAAAGTATGAACATCACTCAAGTAGTTGAACAACTATAAATAGAAATAATAAAAATAACAATGGACAAATTAAATAATATTGTTGTCGTCATTATTATTTTCTATATTCTTTTCGCAAAAACAATAGCGTTATTGAAAATATTTTGATTAGTTTAATAAATGTAAAAAATCAGCATGAGTGAATCACAATTGAAACGACCATTAACATCTGAAGCAATAAATATACAATTGCAAACATAATTTATGGCATTTCCAAAAACAATCTCCATCATAGAAACGTTGAATCTCTTGCGATGTATGCTTTCTTGTATTTATAACCATTCATATAATCTTTCGGAAAAGATTTTTCTTTTCCAATTTTATCATCAGCATTATTTTCATCATCATCGTCATCATCATCAGTGTCATCCATCTTCTTATCATCAGTATTATTTGCATTGTCATCTCTATCAATCATTTTGTTGATGATGTTGGAATTATTGTTCGGAGGGAGATCACCTTCATTGCCATTGTGTTGCATTGCTAAGTGCTGCTGTTGTTGTTGTTGTTGCTGCTGCTGCTGCTGTTGCAGATACCTTTTATTTCTTGTTGGGGTTATGTTCAAAAACTTCGAATTTTTCAAATTTTTAAACGAAACCTCAGGCAATAAGTTAGAATTTTTATCGGAGAACTGCTTGAACAATTTCAGCGGCACATTACCATTTTCATCATCATCGACGTCATCATCCACGTGATAGACTGATGATGTCATTGTTGTTGATGTCGTTGTTGGTTGTACTGTTCGAGCTGCTGACTGGTCCGAGTTGTTTCTCAAAAATGATTTTTTAGATGAAAAACTGTTGAGAACTCCACTGATGACATTAGAAGCAGCAGCCACGTTGTCTCCTGCTGCTGTTGGGTCAGTTTTGTGAACTTTTGTTGATTTGTCCTTCTTGATAATTGAGATGAGAGGCAACTTGCTGGCTTTTGAGAATGGGCTCTTGTCTTGGTCAGAGAGTGTAGGTGTCGTGTGATTATTTGGTTGCTGCTGTTGTTCAGATTGCTCCTCTGGCAATGATTCCAAGATATGTTTGTCAGGCTCCTGTTCATCAATGTCATCTGATGAAATTCATCAGTAACGTTAATCTCGGGCTTAGAATTCAAAAAGCTAAATTTTATAAAATATTTATAAAACAAAAAACACTAAGGCAAAATGTAAGCAAAAGACATCATAGATAACTAAAATAGTCATTTAAACGTCAATTAATATATCCTCCACGGAGGAGCTATCAACGTCAAACAAACCTGGCAACTTCCTGGTACGAAATGAAGCATTAGTGATTGCATCTTTAGGAAACTTGGAATGGCGATGCGTTTGGATTGGGGATGCCGTGACACTGAGACTCTTGCTGTCTTCTTGTGACAGGTCAGGCGATGTGTTGTTGAGATGCAGAGAGTTCAGGAAAGCATTTGTTACCTGGAAACCAATGAACGTTTGATGATATTTTAAGATGAATTATGCAGCGCCATTTCATAAGCCATACATGTATATGTTGTTTGAAATAATTTTTAAAATGCTAACAAGCAGGACAGGGTAGTTCAAGTCGTAAGATGCTCTAAGATGAATATCATCTACAGCTTGCATGCACAACTTTGACAGCCCATTAAACCTATTTAAAGTAATTATGATCGTCTTTTGTTAAACAGAGCAAATCCACCACCAGAAGCAAATTCTAACTAAAAAACCAACATCAAATAATAGATTCCAACAAGTATTTCAATGATCAGTGATTCATCAAAGGGAATTTTTTGGTGCATCGATTCAGGATCTTTCTGCCAGCTGCCATTATCACCTGAGGTAGAGCAGTGCTGGTTGGCGATTGGTGACAAACATTCAACGTAATCTTCAAAGCCTGTTCTTGATAATCTGCCACAAACATTTCATCAGTTTATTTTTGATTATTGTAAACACAAAATAACCAACAACACACAATGTAAATATATACAAACATCACACGGTAAAAAAAGTTCATTCAGACAACTGGTTAATCAAGCCAAATATTCAAACCTAAATAAGATCACTTTTGAGAAGCTTTGAAAAAGCGCTATATAAATACCCGTAATAATAATTACAATGTATGCAACAAATGTATGTAGCCATATATATATACATATATATATATCCAACAAATGCACAGACTTGGAGGACAAGTGGCAGAGGGATTTGCGAGATCGAAAGGACATCAAGGTTATGTTCATGTTGTATACGCTTATCACGAAACTCAAAATTGCACTTCTGTGTGGAGAGCATGCAAATTATTGTCTACATTAAGTCGTTATCGACTATCAATTAATTTTATTTTTTCATCGTGGTGACATCTTGATATAAATGTAAGGAATCAATACTTATATATGTTTCTGACAAAATATGAGCAAATAAAACTGTAATATGCAAGAACTTTCGAAATTAGTTGACAATATTTTAATGATAGAAAAAAGTAAATTTTTATTTGAATTTTTTTTTAAGATATGATTTCAACCACATGTTAAATAACAGCACTGCTAAACAAGAAAAATATTCAAGACAGAAACCAAAGCCAAAACTAATAAAATTAAAACAAAATAAAAAACACAGATTCCTGACCATTATTGACCGTTAAAATAAAATTAAAACTTTGAACATTGAAACCTGTTTTGTGGTGTGATGCCGTCATATTTCTTATGCGTTGGTCGCTTGACAGGTACATGTTCAGAGTTTAATCTTACACTCAAAGCTGCTTCTGTTAACCTCGTTATCAAGGATACAGATGACGGCTGGATGAAATTAAATCACTTGTAAATCACTTCACTAAATCAAAATTTAATCAAAATTTAATTAAAACTGTTTCACTGATAAAAATGACTTTGTTCGAAGCTTTTTAGTGAAAAATTTTAATGACAAATTTCATTGACTGCCCTACCCACTGGCCAAAACATAAGACTAATTGAATGAATAGAATGAAGTCACATGTACAATGTACCCACCCTACTTCACATACTACAGTCTCCATAGCTACCATAAAAACTACTAAATCACACAATTATTGAGCAATAAAATAGAATCAGTAGTAATTGAAAACTAACATCATGATAGACTGATGGCTGTGAAAGAGATGGCACAATGGGAAAAGCATTGATTGTGGTCATTTCACTGTTTCCCTGTAATTATACAAAATAAAAAACGTAAAAACAAATCTTAAAACAAATAAATTTCTGACGAAAGTAATTTTGAAACAACTAACCAAGTTATATACTCCCAACAAGAATGCTGCCAAACAGCCAGAATGCTGAAAAATAACAAAAATAATAACAATAATAATAATATAAAAACCATTATCAAACAATGAGATAATGCTAATCCATTATTTTAACATAACACTGTAGATCACATTGATTGTTTAATGACATTTCGAGCTGGCAACCAGTCAGATAGCAATTATAATGAAGATCTATCAACTGATACATTTCATGCTTTATCCATTTACAAATTATTATTAGCAACTTAACAATTGTTAAATCTGCATTCCATGTCTGGTTTATAGATTTTACGAAATTTTTAAAACAAACTTAAGGTTTGAAAAAAAAAGTTAACCAGTCTCATTACTAAACTGAAGTCAGTGTAATAGATTAATAGATAAGAATGTAATTAATTAACAGAATAAAATTAAATTATTATCTAAAATGATTATCTAAATAAAACAGGTGTGTGTGTGTATGCATGCACAAAATAAACATATATATATATATGTTTATATATATATATATAAATTTATAGAATATTGTAAAAATTATGTAACAGAATAAAATTATAGAATATTGTAAAAATTATATATATATATATATATATATATATATATATATATATATATATATATATATAATTGACAGAAGATTTTGACTTACTAGATGAGATGAAGACATACTGGCCGACAAATAACTGCCAACAATGGTTGGAATGAACTCAATTGCAAAGCAGTGAAGACTGTGAACTGAGGATCGGTAGAAATTAAAAAGCTGATGGCAGACTGGATCAAGTAGCTGTAACAACAGTCCATTTTTCCCATTTGATAAGTTGTTTTAAAATAAATTCAATTTTAAAAACAAAAATAAAGCACACCTGGTCATATTTATGAAAAGATGTGTGATTTAATAAACAGTATAGTTCATCCATTAGTTCCTTATCATTCCTCACTGACTCTCCATAAGACTCGTAGCATGTTTCCAACTTACACTGATTTTTATAAAAAAAATATACATTTATAATATACAACATACATAGTATAGTATAGAATATAAAAACAATTATAATTATACTTAATACATACACATATATATTTGAACAGTGCACAAACATCGATAAATGAATAAAATGATTTGAATTATTATTATTATTTATAAAAATGAAATAAAAAATTTAAATTAAATTTATAAACAATTGAGAAAGCATAAAAGTAGATCTAACAATATTAACAACTATAATATATTTAATACTAAATACTAAATTTTAGATTACCTTGTAATCTGTTAACCACTTTTTAACATTTTTCATCTTGCAATTGCAATAGGAGTTGAATTTTTGGAAAATAGTAAATAAACTTTTATTTTAATTAATTAAATAATTAAAAAAATACTTAAAATAAAAGCTTTTGATTTTGCTTTTATTTTTAAGTATTTAGAAGTCACTTTTTACAAACAGGATTTACACGCAAAACCAGACCTTTTCCTTTACTTAGTTTTACTAAATATCAATAATTAATCTTCTTAAAATTAAAACTTTTAATTTAATTTAAAATTTTAATTATTATATTTTAAATTTTTATAACTTGTGAAAAATTTAAATGAGGTTGATAATTTACAAAAGTAACGTGAAGAGAGAAACAAGAGCAGATCATAAGTTGGAAACAATCAGCAGCATTTCATTTTAAATACGTTTCACTAACTGGTCCCACAAAACTTTAAATTCCAACAGAACCTTATCAAAAAATTTAACGATCCGTCTGTGTCCGTCTATGTACATAACACCTATCTAAAAGTAAACCTATACTAAAGAAGGATGCTATGATCTTTTTCTGCTTTCGGTAAAACGGAGTATATCAAGTGGTGTATCAATTTTAAAACAAAACCAATGCCGGAAAATATTGTGGTACGAACTTGTTCTCTTTCTCTACTTATAAAGGTTTAAAATGTCAATTACACTCTTCTCGTGTACAGAAGGATCAATAACATGCCACAAACATTGCATATGAATACATGCCACACGAGGCATCACACACACAAAGCATGTAATGGGCGAGGATCTTTTTGTGATATTCGAATCGAACCAGCTCACTGCACGAATTGCGAAAAAGCACCAGCGACCTTAACCACAAGGCCATCACGCCTATTTATATTATGCATACATATTTTGTTGAATCCGACAAGAAAACAAACTGCCTAAACATAAAATTTTACATATAGATATATATATATAGTTTAAGGGATCGATCTCTTAGCAGGCTTGTAATCTTCATCTTTCTGGAGCCCATTTCGGCTTGGTCTTTTGCTTCCCGCTTCACGAACTGATGACGTGTGATCTTAGATCATCTATAATAAGCATATGTACATACACGAATGAACACAGAACAGAACAATGTTATAAGGACGTTACTTACATTTCTGAAATTAAGCAAAAAGATTTCTTGTAAAGACTTTCTGGAACATGAGGTAAATCCTTGACACAGCATTGTTCTAAAAATGACTATAACCTATAAAACTTCAATGTTAGGTAGTCAAACCCATAATTCTCACCACGCCCTGTTGCATGTTTGAGATCAAACCTCTGACTTTTCGTTTTACATTTAAGTTTTTGTTATATATACACATAAACCGCGCGAGTCTAAACCTTGAGTGTAAAAATTTGATTGCACAGTAATTCGGATTTTTGTCAATTTTTTGATAGCACCTCAACGCATAAATATGATTCAATTAAAAAGACTTTATTTTCAATTTATTAGTTTGAATTAACAAATATTTAAAAACAAATAAAAATATAAAACAATATAACAACCTTTTATATATATATATATATATATATATAATATACATATACGCACGAGACAATCTTCAAAAACAAAAAACTATGAAAAAATAATTAAAAACGACCTAAAAATAAAAGAATTATAGCAAGCTTAGTTCAGGATTGTATTTGGCTGGACAAATTAGTTTATGTTTCTGTAATTGATGTCTCCATTTGAAACTTTGACCACATTCCTTACAATGACAAAGCATTTTGTGCAGGTGTATGGCCTTGATGTGTTCTCGTAGAACTCTCTCAGATGAATAAATAGATGTACATAAATTACATTGCCATTTATTAATTTGACATCCAGCTAAATCAACTGGCTCCATATGTTCTTGGAGTACCTAAGTGAGGTTGTATAGATTAGAATGAGAATTTGCTTATATTCAGGTTATTAATGTTTTAGACATTGAAAAATATCGTTAAAACTGTATAACCACAATGTCAACAATTTCAAAAACAAGGAAATACTAATACAAACAGGACCGTGATGTTTAAATACTACTCATAATACAACGCATGAATCTTTATTACTGAAACAAAAATGAAATAATTAAAACGAAACTAAATAAATCAATTACAATTAAACTGTAAGTTGTGACAATCAAAAACTGTTGACAATCTTTTTCAAAATTCTGAACACTCTTCAACTCAAATATCTAATATGTCAATTTATTCGATAGTCCTCAGCGGACATTCCAGTCTCCTATGTTTACTGAGGCATGCTCTCCACTTAAACGCCTCTCCGCAGTCAACACAGTGAAATGATTTTTTTTGCAGATGTACACCATCAACGTGCTCTTTTAATGATTTCATCTGAGTGAAGACAGCCGAACAATTTTGGCACTGCATCACCTGACGACCTAGTGGAGGATTGATTGTAGTGCTGCTCGACTCCATCTGCAGGTAAAATATCCAGCTTTATATTATCCCATCATATATTAAGACATTTTATACTCATGTACATGTTTCATTTCATTTGTTTTTACAATGTTCAAATTGCACACTATTATAATGACATGGTCAAAATGATGAACCAATTAAACACACTTAGAAAATATAAGAGACTACAAGACTTGAAAAGTAAATAAAGTTAAAAAAATGTTAGGTAAAAACTTAAACTGATACTCATGCTTGTTTACACGAAAACATATATGACAAATATATAATGTATATTTACATGATTACATATAAACATTTATATATATATATATATATTATATATATATAATGTGTTTGTGTAAACATCTGTACACGCAAGCACTAATAAAGGTAAAATGTTGAAAAACATTTTATATGAAGAATTTCAACTAAATATCAACATAAATCTTAAAACCACACAAATACAACATTGTCTCAATGATTTAATTGAAAGTTTTATTAATCATGCAATCGAACAAGTAGTGTTATATGAGGTGTCAACAAGATGAAACTAATTGAATCCGGTACGGGCATAAATTCCTTCTGTGCTTACATAAATCAGTTCTCCATTTAAAACTATCTCCACAGTCGTAACATCTATAAGATTTCTTGTTCAAATGTAATCCATCTATATGTCCTCTAAGTGCTTGAAAACTGCAAAAGACTTTCGAACAGTATGGACAAGGAGGCTTAGGCTTGCTACTGCCACTACTAAAAGTGTTACTACTATTGTGTGCAACCTCTTTATTGTCACCTTTGTTTGCACTGTTGAGTGTTGCAGACGCAGAGGTGTTAATGGAATGAGATGTTGGTGATGTGAGTAGCTGGGCATCACTGAATGTTGTAGGAATGGCATGGAGAGTTGATGGCTGTGAAATAGTTTCTTTACCATCCAACATTTGAGATAGATTAGATATATCTATGCAGTTGTTGTTGCTGTTATTGTATGCTTGTTCATCAGCCTGAAGGAAGCAAAATTGAATATATCACATAGCCATGAAACTCTAATCTATATTAATTTGTGTTTTTTAAATACAAAAAAATTATGTAAATTTTCAATGAAACACCTAATCAAAATGATAAAAAAAAGTTTATCTGTCTTAGGTATTAATAACAATGAATATTGACTTTGTCAATAAAAAAAAACAAATTAAGGTTGTGAATGAGAAATACAGCAATAGACCCATTACAACTAAAAGACAACAAAACAATAAAACATGTATGTATTAATGTGAATTTAATGACAAATTTATAAATTGAGTTAGCTTAATGCATCACAAAGTTCGTTCACAAGTAGTTTGTTGTTTTAATAAGTTGCCACTGTAAGGACAGGAATATTGCTTGTGTCTACCCAAACTAGATCTCCACTTAAATGTCATGCCACAGAGAGAACAAACATTGACTTGCATCTTCAAGTGCACACCTTTTACATGATCTTTCAGGGCTTGTGCATTATAAAAATTTACTGAACATAAAGTGCAATGAAGAGACTTTGGTGGGAAAACACTTTGAAGTACTTTATTAGTAACATCTGCACTCAGTCTTGAATTTTTATTATCATTTGTTTCTTCTTGACTAATAGACAATGATGGGTTTGAGGTTTCATAAGTTCTTGAAGATAAATTCTGTGATTTGTATTAATGATTTTTTTTACCACATTTTAAGTTTGGTTATTTTGCTCAAACATTCACAAAAGTTCTTAACATAAATAATACATGTAGACAAATGTTTGTTGAAAAACATTTCAGTGCATAATTAACACTTTTGTTAGTTATTTGTAAAACTGGCAAAACCCAAAAACTTCAAAAATTAGAAAATAAAATATTTAAAAATAAAAAACAAAAGTATTATATTAATGAATTTAGAAAAAAAAATACTTAAAATGAGAAAAATAGAAAAAAAAGATTGTTATACTAACTATGTTATCAGATGAAGAAAAATTCATATTTTGTTCATGAGAAAAATGTAATTTCAACCGAGATTGACCAGACGATCGCCAACCAGGTCGACCTCTTCCTCTTATTCTTCTAGTGGGAGGAGCATTATTATTATTATACTGCATTTGATTGTATCTTTGTTTTTTATTTGATCCTATATTATAGTTATTACCGATAGTCGTATTTTGTTGATCCCAGTTTTCATTATTTTGATGTTGATCTTCTTTAACAAAAAAACAATCATCAGTTTCATCAGATGCTTCTGTTAAAAAATTTGAATCATTTACATTGTCGTTGGCATTTTCTGATGGATAAAAATTCTGAGAAATATCATTTTGGCACTGGTTTTGATATTGGTCTTTGAAATTAGATGTTGAACACGTAGGGTCCAACGTTTGAGTGAATAAATTGTTTTGAAAATTATCATTTAAGTTGGAATTCGATTCAATTTCATCAGGATGGTCAAACTCGGTTTTGATGGGCATCTCAGTTTTAAAAGAATTTTGCAAACTGTTGTTAGATTTACGCCCACTTGTAGACTGCCTCGTGCAGATCGTATTCTCTTCAAAAGAAGCCCCCTCGTTAGCATCGATCATTTCGTTGATATTTATTAGAACGACATCATTGTCGTCAAGTGTTATTCCGATCAGTGCTTCGATACAAAACTTTTTCTCGTAGCGCATACCACTTTTACATAATAATGTGATTGCATCTACCAACAGTTGCTTCATTCTCAGCTGCTCCTCTCTTCTGTCCATCGTTCCCGATGTACCTCGTCGAAGACCGATTAAATATTAAAAATGGCTGAATTAACGAGTGATTTTTGCGGGTCAATCTAACGTCTAACTGTGAAAAAATACGGTCGAAAAGTTATCGTACTCATATCAGAGCACAACTGTATTAACAAATTTTTAATTACTAATTTTGCATTTTTTAAAAATCAGATCATACATAAGTTATTGGCATTTAATTGCATATAGGAAGTGAAATAAAGTGTTTGATCCATATATATATATATATATATATATATATATATTTATATATATATATATATATATATATAGATCAAACATATATATATATATACATATATATCCACGGTTTGATCCGAATATTAACATGAAAACAATTACGTCATCACGCTGTTAATATAAACGACATAGCTATCCTTCGTTTTATATCCACATCACATTTACAACCTGAGGTAATCAGAGTTCCGAGATAATTGAAGCTGTTGACTTGTTTCACCTGTTTACATGTAATCATTATGGTGGAGATCAGAGCGGTTTTGCTTTTACTTGTAACCATGCACTTTGTTTTGCTGATGCTAAATTGCAAGCCTTTTCTTTCACTTCCAAAAACCAGTTTGGAAACAATTGTTTGCAATTTTTCCGTAGATTCCGCTATAAGAGCTGTATCATCAGCATATCTTACATTGTTTATATTCCAACCAATAGATATTCTAGGATTTCTAATAATGATCTCACTATAAAAACTGTACAGGTCTAATACCTTCCTTTATTTCGACAAAATTAGTCATCTTGTTACCAACTTTCAACAATACTATTATTATTGTCCTGAGCGTAAGAACGTTTTTGATATATAGGGGAGCTTTCCTAAAACGCACTCCACTCCCCCAAAACGCACCCCCAGTGAAATTCAAATAACGCGTACCATAAACTTTGAATTTTTATTTCCATTCGCTTTTGGTCTATCGGGAGTAAACTTTTAACATCAAAAGCGTGTTTGTTTTGAATACGAGCCTGCTTCACGAACAAAAGTAAGTTTTGTTACCATTTTCGATAATTTTATCAATTCTTAAAATTGGTCTGTAGTCATTCAGAATTATTATCTCTTAATGTATATTATCTTAAAATGTTGCTAATCCTGTAGTGAATAAATGCTATTTAAAATAATATCAATATTTTGCACAGTATCAAGATGGTCGTCTACCTGAGTTCTGTGAGTTTTCCCAAAATGCACCATCCATTGATTCCCAAAACGCACCATGAGGTGCGTCTTGGGAAAATATCAGCAATTTTTTAATAAAATTAAAGAACATTTTATAAAATTAAATTATTAAAATATAATGATTATATTTTCAATTATTATGCCATAATAATTAAAAGTTAAAACCATAATAATTAAGGGTTTAACTTTTAAGGTAGTTTTATGTTACAAATTATAATGACCACATTGTTATTATATTACAATCACAATGTTGTCATTATAATTTGTAACACAAAATTGCCTTAAAAAACCATAATTATGACATAATTATATACTTGCCTTTTATAAATACTATGGATATGCAATGGTAGGGTACCAGTTTGCTTACTTAATGCCTACTAATTTTGTTATTAACATATTTATTATGTACTAAAACAATCATTTTCCTATCATTTACAGATGGGTCGTTACTACATAAAAAAAGCACAAGAGGAAATTATAGCTCAGAAAATTTGAAGAAAGCTTTGGAGGATTTACGTGAAGGTCAATCATATCACAGTGTTTCAAAAAAGTATACTATACCACGTCGAACACTTCAAAGACATATGAAAGGCACTATCCGACAACCAGGATGTATAATGCTTGGTAGATTCCGACTGATTTTATCAGATGAAATGGAGACAGAAATTGTCCATCATGCAATTGACATGCAACAACGATTTTATGGCCTCACACCAATGGACATTCGGAAACTTGCCTTCCAGTTGGTGGAAATGAAGAAGTTGCCTCATCCATTTAATTCTACTAAACAAATGGCAGGGAATAAATGGTTGCTGGGATTTATCGAACGTCACCCAGAGTTGTCAGTTCGTGAACCGGAGGCCACTAGCATGTCTCGTGCAGTTGCATCCAGGATGTGATGAGGTGGGTGGAACAGAAGATTGGATTCGGTGCAGTGGTTGTAATGTATGGTGGCACGAACAGTGCACGTCTTATGAAGGGATTAAAGGATTTGTTTGTGATTTTTGTTGAATGAAACAGAGCCATTTATAAACATTTTATCAAAACTTATTTAAACTAAAATTGAATCTGGTTTTGGTCTAAATTTTTTTTTTCATATTCATTTTCAGCATAAAAAACTCTATTAGAATCACTTATAATGTCTCAAGAAAAAAAACCTTGTAAATCAGTGTTATTGTTATAACCTATTTTTTACTTTATTTTGATAGATTGCAATTATAATGCTTGCTGTATCAATTTTACTTGGATGTCCCAAAATGCACCTGGGGGTGCGTTTTGGGAAAACCTTTCCCAAAATGAACCCTCTCAACCAAATATTTTTTTGACCTGCTGTCGTTTTTATTTGAAATATTGAGGGCCAATTTCTTTCTTTTCACACTTGTTACATGCCATTTCATTTATTGGAATAGTATAAGCCATTGTATTTGATGTTAAGGAACGGCTACAAGCCAAAATTCCTTAAAGGGTGCGTTTTAGGAACACTCCCCTAGTAGCTGGAAACTAGTTATCATTATATATTACTGAACATGCACTATGAATCGATTTTTTAGTATAGCGATGTTATAGTGAATTAAGCTAGTATTTTTTTACCAGATCCATGTACTACTCAATTTTCTGAACATGAAAATATGCAATTTGGCATTCAAAATCTTTACATTTTTTATATATAGTATCTTGAATCAATCGAATTGTTATTATTATGTATTACTGAAAACACATTATAGCTCAATTTTTTTGGCATGTGGTTTCTGATATAGTGAATAAAGCTGATAGTCTTTTACCAGATTCATTTAGTTTTCAATCTACTGAGCTTGAAAATGTACAATTTTGTAATCGAATTCCCACGTTTTTGATAATATGATATACAAATATTATCTCTAATCGACCGCGATATGCATTGGTATTACTGAAGTTCGATTTTTTGAAATGTGGCGCTGATATAGTAAATTAAGCTGGTAGTTTAATAGATTTTTGAATCGACCAAATATTTATAAAAGAGCGTGAAAATGTATAATTTTGTAACAGATTCTTGAATTAACCAAATATTTATCATTATAATGTACGCACCATAGCACAATTTTTTTCAAATGTGACGCTCATTGCAATAAGTAAATTAATGATGTCCTTATCCATGGTCCCTACATCAATTATAATGGACACTTGACGTCATTGTTTTCTTGCCTCCAGTAGAGCGTGTAACGGAAGAGAACATGTGTTTATACAGATGCCTACGTTTTTAAGAGTTTGATTTTGTAAGAAATAATAAAAATGTTTAGATGTAAGGTTTATTTGCATTTAATATTGTAGCTCTAGAAAGAACATTGAAAATGGAGCTATATTTCATTATAAATATATCTTTATATAAATATATTCTAATTATATGAAATATATTATATGAGAAAATGGTAAACATTTATCGTCGCTAACTCCAAAACGTGGTAAAGCACTTGCACGTTATTTTTTCATTCGTTAAAATGCGGATCAGAATATTTCTCGAATTGATCAAATCAGCTTCTCCCAGGTGTCATTACGGCTACACAAGCAAAATAAAAACCAATTATAAAAGTTAGTGCGATTTTTTAGTGCTATTTCATGTAACCAAAACAAAACAGAAACCGGCGAACAAACTGTTTAGCTTTAGCTTTTAGCAGCTTTTTTAGTTAGTAGTTAAAAAAAATTAAAAAGACTAAATTCAAACTTCTAAAAAAACCATAAACATAAAATAAACTATAAAAAAAAAATTAAAATAAAATAAAACACAATAATTATTTCATTTGATTTACGTTACAAAGATTAATTATTGCTAGTCATTTCATTTATCATCGTTATTATTTCTTGCTTCCTACTTGTAAACTGCAAATTCAAATGATTTTTTTACTTTTAATTTATGATTTTTCATATATAAATAAGTTATATATTTTTTAAAATTATACACACATCTGTAATGCAAAATCTTTGGGTTAGTTTTTTAAATATTTAAAATTATACATGGAAAAAGCTTGAAAACTTTCATTAGCAAACGTTTAGTTTTTAAGCTATTTAAAAAAATTCAGAGTATAGTAAACAAAATGTTTTTATGAAATAATAGATAACTTTAAGTTTATAAAGGTATTAGCTATTAAGTAATAATTGTGGGATGGTTAGTTTCCGGATTAAGGTTAAGGAACGTTTGTTCCTTAACTAGCATAAGTAGCAGTTCTTATCGTTATTTTTTCATGTATGTCCCTCCTATTTTACTTAAACCCTTAAACGAATGTTTGCTGATTTTATACAGGTAAAATCAAAGGGTCCATGTTCAATATTCTAATAATTTTTTAAATTTTAATATTAATATTGTTAACACTATTAAAATTAATTTAAATTTGTTTATATTCTCATACAGATATAAGACCTTACAGCTCCATAGTTTCAGAGCTGAAAAAAGCATTATCAGGAAATGATAAACGCACTTTATATTGGACTTCAGTTGATAATCCCGATCAACATAATCAGAGGCACGAATCTTTATTTTACACTGTGCCTAAAAATCATTTCAAACAATGGTTAAGTAAAGGATTAGAAACACATTTTTATAGGTCAGCCAAAGCATTTAATGAGGCAAATATCATGATCAGAAAACCAGCTTTAGAAGTAATTTCTTGTCTATCTAAAGTTGATAAATCATTTCCTCTACTCAAATTTATTCTGCATGGAAGAAATGGCTGTGGCAAGTCTACATCATTAGCTCACATAATACATTATTCTGGTGCTAAAGGTTGGATGATTGTACATGTTCCTTGGGCTGCATTTTACAACAGGTGCTGATGATAAAACTTTAAATGTTTTTCAAAATTAATTGTTAAAGGATGATTATATGCATTTTTATAGGTATTCATGTTCAGAAATTCAGTATTCCACTCATTCAAAAACGATGAGGGTCGATCAACCCTTAGCAGCAGCCCAGTGGCTTGCAGATTTTAAATTACAAAATGAAGCATTGTTAAAAAATTTGAATGTTCTTGTGTCAGATACTTATGTATGGAACAAGAGAGAACAGACAATACCAAACAGCCCCATGTTAGAAATGATTGATTTTGGTCTAACTCGAGTCAAATATGCTACAGATGTTATGGGAGTTGTTCTGAAAGAATTGAAATTACAATGCAATGCAGGGAAGTTCAAAGTTCTAGTAGCAATTGATGGATATAATGCTTTTTACGGTGACACATTAATTAAACAAGAGGATAATCGAGCCAGGTTAAATATATTTCTTTATATTTATTTATTTATATATTTATTTAGCAATTATTTTAGATTGTCATTTTGCTTTTTTGTTGTAGTTTGTCATACTAAAATTTTTTCTAAGGATTCATTTAATTTGGATTTACATTTTTTGGATTTAAGTAAATCAACCAAATTTTAAAACAAAAAAGTTGCATTAAAGGAAAAGTTAAAAATAAAAACTATATTTGAAGTTAAACTTGACCGGCGGATGATGGGACATAGCACTATAGCATCCAGATTATACTGGTTATTACAATGAATGTACATGAATTGCATTGGGATTTGCTGGTTTGAAATGTGAACTAGTTTTTGTAATGGAAAAATTGATCTTATAAATGTGAGGATTGTAGGCAGATCATATGGAAGGTGGGAAAAGATGCATGTTGAGTTTGTAAAGAGACTTGACAATGCAAAAAATGATTTAAAAAAGGAACAATGAACCTGGTTATGTAAGTTGCTCTTGCCAAGTAAAAATGAAGTGATATATCTCTTGCAATATTTTGCTGAGTTTATTGAATTGTAATTAGTTTTTGACAGTTTAGAGTGCTTTCATTAGTATTTATGTTAATTTCTTTCACTTTATTCACACACACACATATACATATATATAGAACTTAAAAAATATATATTTATATACATATACATACGTATACATACGACTATATATATTTTAGGAAACACAAAGCTGAGGAGTTGTCCATAGTTCATTTCTTCAAAAAGTTGATAGTTCCTGATTGGACAAATGGTGCTGTGGTATGCACTGTTGATGGGAATGCCAGCTATCCTGCTAAGCCTCAAAGTTATTTACCAATTGACCTTATTGGGCAGCAAGGATTTGAAGATCTGGACCCTTTTATTCCAGTTCATGTCGACAATTATTCAGAAAAAGAATTTTTCAGTTGTATGCAATATTTCTTTGATCACAAATGGTTTGTGAATCCTTACAGTCAAACTGAAGAAGGTATTAAAGAAATCAAAAGTTTAAGTTGCATGAATCCAAAGGAATTGTATAATTTAGGTGTATGGATGTAAAATAAACGGTTTTTAATGTTTAAAATTTTGAATTAAAGATTAAATCTCTTTTATTTCTTTTTGCTTTTCCTGTCGTGCGCGCAAGAAAAAGAAGTTCGTACTATAAAACTAGATGTTTTTCGAGTAGGAAACCCAAGACACATCTTTAGTTATCTGGAATGTTATCGGGACTATTATCTAGTTATCTGCTTTAAGTCTTACTCAAATTTTTACTCATAAAAAATCGACTGCTTAATAAAAAACTTATATGTGCGGACAATTCTATCAAAGTTCGAAAGATTTCTACTGTTTCTATGTTAAATTTTTACATTCTGGCAAACATTTTGTGTACGGCATTTTGACGGGTCTTTGAGCCGGCCAAACTGACTGCCGGGTGTTTAGAATTTTTTTAGTTCTCTAAACGGTGTGCTTCATGGATGCATATATGAAGAATATGTATGCTTTGCACCATTTGTTGGAATTATTAACCATAAATTTTTTGTTAATGGTAAGATTGATGGTAATTTCTGAAAAATCAAAAAATTTTGGTTTAAAATTGTTACAGCTTTATAACCAATGTTTTAAATTTGAGAGTAAATACGTTTGGATTATATATGGTTTAGATATAGAAATCATGAAGTAATGTGAAAATAAAAAAATACTAACAAAAAATTAAAAGTTACTAACCAATTTATTCACCACATACTAGAGATAGTCCCTATTTGTTTAGATAGATGACGTGACAAATAGGTATATGTTGAGTTGAAGTAATTATGAAATTTAGGTCATGAAAGAAAAAAAGTCTAATTTTATATTTTACTAACATTTTGTTCACTTTTAAAAAATAAACAATTCCTGAATTTTGTAGATAATACCAAATCGGTTGGAATAACTTTGGCAAGGGACACCAATTTTAAATTTGTTTGAAGTAGGCCCGGTTAATTTAATGATTTTTAATATTATTGTTAAATAGATATTAATTTAATTAAATGTTTTTATATTATACATGACATTGATATTAGCGAAAATTATTAAAAATCAATTATATTATTAAATTATTTTAAAATGTAAAACTTATAAAATGTAAAATAAATCAAAAACAAAATATTTTATTCATATTATTTTAAGTTAGGCTTATATAATTTTTATGGCGGTTGTTAGAGGCGTTTTTTTTCAACTTTTTAAAAATAATTAGCATTTTGGAAACTTTTTTAGTTTCTTGACTTGTCTGTCACCAAGTTTTTTTAAAATTATTTATCAAAATGTTTAATTTTTTTAAGATGTCAGCGTTGAAAGTGTTTCCAAGTGTTGATGAGTTGCAGACAAAAAGATTGGAAAATATAAGATGTACTGTAATTGGTTGCAATAAGTTATTCAAGCACTCATTGGCCCTTCGTTTTCACATAGTGAAAGTTCACAATATCATCAAGGTCACCAATTTTTTTGTTTTTAAGTTGAAAATGTAAATGTATAACTTACAAATTAAACTTGATGTCTAAATTCATTTTAACCAGTGTTTCATTTATTTATATTTTGACAGCTAGTTAGTTTGACAAATAATGTTTCTTCATTTAAGAATTGAACAACTTAACAATATTTTGCTTATTGTCTGTAACTTATTGGCAAAATTCTGATAAAATTGTTGACATTCAGTAATATGCAATTGAAGCTAATTTTTTGTCTGATAACATAGTTACTCATCGTTAAGCCTGATCAGCCAATTTGAGTCAATGCATCAACTATTTAAGGAAGCACATAATCAGGACATTCATTCTAACATAATGCAGTCGCTGTAGAATACCCCTGCTATATGAACAATTGTATTATATCATTTGTATTAATTCTAAACTTTCTTTCATTTGAAATCTAAACAGACAGAATCAGATAAAAGAATAGCTAACAAAGAAAAACTTATTCGCAATGAAGTGTTCTATTGTCCTGTGAAAACATGTTCCTATCATTTTACAGATGAAAAATCCAAATTTTTTTCAACTTTCAAACTCCTCAAACAGGTTTAATTTTTTTAAATAAAATGCCTAAATAAAAAATTGATCCTTTTAATCATTTATAAACTTTTTAGCATCATAATCAAGTGCATTTGCCAAGAAAACATGCATGTCAGACCTGTTCATCGACTTTTAGTAGATATTCAGATTTGAAAAGACATGAAAACAAATGTTCATCATTGACTTGCATGGATTGTAAAGTTAGAATGGGAAGCCGTAGTGAGCTTATCCAACATGGGAACTTGACCAAACATAACATTCCTCAAGTTCATTCCCATAAAATATCAAATCAAACTAGTGCACCTATCAACCTATGTAAATATCCAAATACCAAGAACAAAAGCAATGTGGCTTTTCTAACTGATAACTGCTATTCTTACAAAACTATAAAGCCTAAGCATACAGAGGCCAGTCAGATTGTTGGTCTGTATCTCAGCTCAATAGCTTCATCTACTTCATTGAATAAGCCTCAAAACCTTATGAATGCTTTTTATAACAACTCAACAGCTGCACATATGACTACCACTCCCTCAACCGACATTTCTATTGATGATAAAAATGCACGTGATGCAGCTAATGGCTTACTTTTCAAATCTAGCAATCTGAAAGCAGCTGAAACTCAGACAGTGCATTTTTTGATTAAAGAAAACAACAAGCCAACAAGATCACAGGGATCACAGGTTTTCAATCATCAAGATAATTTTTCATTACTTTGCTTTACATTGTTATATTTTGTTGTCATACAGGCTTTCTTAGAATATAAAAGATCATGTTGCACAAAGGAGAACAATGAAACACAAACCAACTTATCTAGCAATTTCAATGTAGCTTCGCTGGCCAAACATCATTCTATCAACAGATCTCTCTCAGAAAATCAAATAAACAAGAGAAATGTTTTCAACAACTTCACCAATTCAGAAACTCAGACAACTTCAGAAGATGTGGCAGAACATACCAGCACTCAGACAATTGAAAGTTTTTTGAACGATTGGTCTAAAAATTTATGCGTTGGTGAAATTAATTCATACACAGCAGGTAAAAAAACCGCATTTATGAATCTTATGATGAATGAAGGTCAGTGCAATTCAAACTATATCAACAGAACCATGTCCAATACTTATGACATTGAAAATGCTGACTGCATATATTACAATCAGCCTGATTACAGCACTGACAGCTTATCAATTGATCTCTCCAAGAATAACTTCCCAGTAACTAACGATGAGATGACATCTAAAATGAAAGATAACTGTTCAACATCTACTCAAACATATTATTCCTCAATGGATGAGGGAATATTTAATGACATTTCATTCATTAACATTGAAACTCAGACCAATGATGACTTTTTGAGTTTAGCATCTGATGAGTTTGCCGTAGATTTGGAATTGGAATGCATGGACATTGAGACACAGACTCACTCTCTAATTGATGACTTTATTTTTTCTGAAGCTGAAACCCAAACTTCAAAACAGGATCAATTGAACATATTGTTTTCAAATATTGAGACACAAACTCACCATTAATGTTCTTTTTTTATTTTAAATAATTGTAAATAAGCATATGAATATAATTTATTGAGAAATGTTACGTTTCTGTTTAGACTGAGCTCGATTTGCTTCTATTTTCATTTTTCTCTGAAATAAATTCTTAGTTTAAAATAAGTTTGATTATTAATTTACATTAACATGAAAAAATATGCTGATATACCTCTTTCACCAAACATTTTCCAACTAAGCTGTCAAGGTTGTTACATTTTCCAAAAAATTTCTTGAAAGGAAACTTGGTGGAGAAAATAATAAATGAAAAAAAATTACTCAATATTTTTAATTGATGCTCACGATGAAAATAAGATCCGTGATTAAGTTATAATTTCATACTTTTGAGTTTATAGTGATTTTTTGTCAACAGGATTTATTATTTTAATTTTATTGAGTTTTTTTTATCATTTATTTAAAAAATTAATTGACAAATTTCTATAGTGTTTCATATCAGAAGAAAAGGGAAAAAATTTTTAACAAACTCCTGAAAGACATGGATTTAATTTAAATTAATGAAAAATGATATCATGCTTACATTTTTATGACATTCCTGTAAAGCTTGTATAAATTCATTACACTCAGCTGTATGAAGGTGTGGTGAAAGATCTGGATGCATGTGTGCTGGTTGTAGAAATCTGCTTTGCTATTTATGATATGGCATAACTGGGCCCTAGATATAAAAACATTTGTTTATTTTCATCCATGTTAATAATGACGTAATGATGTTAATAATGAGTATAGAAAGAATGATATCTCTAGAAAAAAAGTTGTTCTGGTTCAGAATTTTTCATACCATCTAAAATTAAGACTCTTATTCTCTATTAGTATCGTAACTATGCTCTGAAAAAAACCTAACAATTTCTCTAACCTGCTTTCCTGTTTTACTATGCTGACAATTTATCAACAGTTAATCCTAAAAAAAAAACAGGTTCTGTTTTCAATATCAATTTTAAAATAAATCTTAGTTCAGTCAGTCCTCTCCTCCAGACTAATACAAAATAAAAAAAAGAATATTTTATAATATTAATATAAATAATGATACATAATAATGGTAAAAATAATAATAAACAAAAATAAATCTATCTATTATTATTATTATTATCAAATCAAGGTCAAACCTTCTTATTTTAATTTTTTAAATTATGTAAATTTATCATGATCAAGATTATTTCAAATTTATATTATTTATACGATTAAGCATTGAATTTCGCTAAATAAATTGCAATAAATCAGAAATTTGTCTCGCTCACTTGACACACAAGAGTGTAAAAACCTACCTTTTATTAAAGTTAACGTTTCTTTTTGGTCCAAAACTCTGAAACCAATCAAAACAAGTGGTCCAAGTTGGCCGCTGTCATGTAAAATAAATTTCTTTAAAGCGTATAAATTTTATACTATAAAAGTTTTTTAAAAACTTATCTGTTTGCGTTTGTTTCGAAGAAGTTTTTTTATCAATAATAATTTTTACATTTATTATTTTTTACTAATTTATGTATTTTTTTAATATTTTACTCACATATATAAACATTTTACCATATAATTAGAATACATTTTACAGATAAATTTTAATTTATCAATTTTTTTGGTCTACCATATACTTGCAAATGTTTACGTTGCTTAATTAATGTTTACTAGATTTGTGCTCTCAGTTCCATGTGTCGGCAGCGGAAGGTTTCGACTTAATTTTATGGATTTATTATAAAAATTAAAAGTTAAATTAAAGTAGATAATACATTGTTGAGTACAATTGAATCATCATCATTATTATATTATTTTGTGTCTACTTTTCGTTCCCTGACTTTTTTTCTTCAGACTACTAGGCTAATATTATTTTTTGGTATTTACAAACTGCACAAAAGTGAAAAAATGTCAGCAAAAAGAGAAAAAGAATTGACAAAAGAAATCTTGTTAATGAAGGTAAGATTTTTTAAAAAACAACAAAAATGAAAAATTTGTCATCTTTTTTGTATGTTTTTTCTTATTCATTACAGAATACTTTCAATTTTCTAATTTTATTGAATTGAATATTATAATTTATTTATTTAAACCAATTTTTATTTAATTTAATTTAGTACTTTCAAATTGCACTCTATTAGTTTATGCAAAAAAAATGTTTGAAAAATGATGATGAAGGAATGGACACAAAATATTATAATGATGAATACTGGGTTCTGGACAAACCTGATGTTCCACAAAAACCGTTTGTTCCATTTATTTTAATTTTTGTCTTTTAATAGGGTATTTATAATCAGGAACACTGTAACAAATAGTGCTACTTGTTTTTCAAACTGATATGTTAACCTTTGCCTGTTTGAATTTTAAATAATTTTTTCACAAGTTACAAAACTCATAAAATGACGATGTGCTAAAATACAGTTAACCTTGTTATATTTGCATGATCAAAATGGATTGATTAGTCTTTTATCTTATTGCTCTTTTTTTCTATATATTATCAACTTCCTATTGGAATATTTTTTAGAAGCTTTATATTTTTTAGAAGCTTTATAATATATAACTGAAGGTAATCTTATTATATCTCACATATGCATATCGTTTGTAAAATTATACTTTTACTAATTGTCCTTATGTGTTGTTATTTTAATAAATGGAAACCTAATTATTTGTTCAGAATTAAATACAAGTATGTGGCTAGTTATTCAGAATGTGCCAAACTCAAATTCGGTCGACAATCTTTTAATGGATTCAATAAAGAAATAGAGGTATTTCCAAATAAATTTAAATAATTATCGTAAAAATGATTATTTCAACAACTTAGTACATGAATTGTTTTTATATTTTTTTTTTCTTTACAGTCCATCAACAAAAATATTGAACTTAAACTCCGTGATGCAGAAATCGATGAAAATGAAAAGTTAAATATGATTGATGATATCGAAATGGCCGATAGGTAGTACATAAAAATTTTTTTAATAATTGATCATTCTCAGTGATATTCATTTTATCAATATTAATTTTAATTTAAATACAGGTATTCTTCATTGGTACATTCCTTGAAAAATAAAACAAAGACAAAAAGGCAAAGGAACTGTACTAATGATTCTGATACCCCCTTATCTAAAAAGCCAGCATTCAAGAGACCTCCGCCCTAACCAAAATTTTGATAACTTCTGTAAATAATTTAGTTTTATTTAGAATATCAATACTTTTAATTTATCGCAAGCAATACTTTCAATATACATCTGGCTATTATGCCCATGTATGGTAAAGATGATGATAAAGATGATGATTGTTTTTTGTTTCCTTTGCTTGGCAACAACGTCCTACCTCAGGGAACCGGGTCTCTGGATGCAAAACGATGATTGATATTATACCCATGTATGATTATGTAATGAGACTTGCGAATTTTAAAATTCTTGTGTTTAGAAAGTGAACAAGTAAAAATATTTTAGTTATATATGAGCGGCAATTGCTTGCATGTTAATACCATAGTGTCAGGACTCTGGAAAATGTTATTCTTTTTTTTAAATTAAATTTAAAGTGAAAGTTAAAGAATTTTTCTGGGAGTTGCAGTCTGAATTAGATATCTTTATCCGGATTTTCGGAAGGCAGGAGTTGGAACCGGATGTTTTGTCATCCGACTACGAGACTGGTTAATACGATGAGTACATATCTTGTATTCAATTAATGTCAGGAATGAATTTTCGATGTGAGGTCATGTAACAATAATTTGAAGAGTTCAGTCTTGGGTTTTTGCGTGATGGCCTTGTGGTTATGGTCGCCTGGTGCTGTTTCGCAGTAACCGGGTTCGAATATGAAAAAAAGATCCTCGCGTATCACATGCTTAGTGTGTGATGCAAAGTTAGCATGTTTAGCATTTATCTTACCTGATTCTAAAACTCTTGATGTCTCTCATAAGTTTCGTAGTCTAGGTTTTATCTTTGATTCTACTATGTCTCTCTCTTCTCAGATTAATAGTGTTGCTAGAAGCTCTGACTTTCATCTACGTGGAATAAAAAACTTTTGCCTTTTCTTGATGATCCTACTCTTCTCCTTCTTGTTACTTCGTTAGTATTATCTAGGATTGATTATTGTAACTCGCTCTACTATGGTTTTCCTGACTCTATACTCTATCCTTTAAGTAAAGCTTTTAACTCTGCTGCTCGTCTAGTTGCTCGTGCCCCTTTCTTTTTTCATATATCTCCATATCTTGTTCTCTTGCACTGGCTACCTATAAAATATAGAATAATTTTTAAAATTTGCACGTTCATGTATAAGTCTCAATCTAAATTATTTCCTAAGTATTTATCATATATTAATTGAACCTAAACGCCCCGGTTTACGATCGTCTTCTTCTCGCTTTTTCTTAACTCGTGTTAAACACTCTTTTGCCAAATCTGCTTTTGCTTTTTCTGGTCCTTTTCTCTGGAACTCTCTACCTACTTCTCTGACTACTTTGCCTTTGTTTATTAAGTCAAATTGCTTCATGGATGACACCAGTGGTGCATCTTGACAACTGACAGCGGAGGAGCAAAATTTTTTGAAAATATTTAAATTTTGACATGCATGGGGTAATGTGGTAATGGTAATGTGGCTAGTTACGTTTTTTGCTTACCACGTCAATTTTCGACATAGAACAGTGCTTTTCCTGTTAAAATAATTGGTATTACTGACTTATTAAATACTGCTCACAACGGGGAATGGAAATTAGAAACTCATATATATCTAAATAATAATTTTTTTGAATAGAAATTGAGTTACATTTTGCATTTAAATTTATCGTTGACCTGGAAGCATCAGTATACTAACTAATTTAAACGTTTGAGTCGTAAAATCCAAGGCATGGCAACATCGATGTTTCTCAGTCTATTTTTATCTTCCTGATTCAGTGTTTGTTTAAATTAACGAGTTTTAAGTCTGAGAAGGTATAAAATAGTATATTGATAAAACTAAAGTAGCCATTCCTTGGTAAAATTTCTCACGAAAGTTATATTTAGGTCTGTATTCACATATAAAAAATAAATATATTAGGCGCTGTAAAATTATTTTCAAAATTTTCTCCTGCTTATGACATCCAATCACAGGCCGGGCATATAACGAGGTGCGAATTTTGATTTGTTTACTTTTACACGAAACTTTTGATAAGATTTGATTTGCTAACTTAATTCTTTTATTATTTAAAGGAAGCATTATTTTTGTTTCATCTTATTTTATCTGCTCGGATGTGCTAAAAATTTATAATTAGTATACGTTTCAACATTTCAAAGTCATTTTATTTTTTACGAAAGAATGGAACTGGAACATCAGCATCAACACCAACAGCATCATGATCAGGACGACGTCGACTCAGACTCTTCAAAGAAGGTCCATCAATCTGCTGCTACCCCACCACCACCCCCATCGTCGCCACCATCGTCACCATCATCATCACCACCATCGTCTCCACCATTATCAACGTCAACCGACCAATTAATAATGAATCAACCTCGTCACCAACAACAACACCATCAAGACCAAGAGCAACAAAGCCAGGATATTGTCAGTGAAAAAAAATATAATTTGTCGGATTCCTTTGAAGATTACTTGAAACATTTAAGCAGCTTTTTGAGGTTTGACTCACCTGACAAATGGCTTCCTTCAATGAGGTCTGCCAACTCGTCAATTGAAAGTTTAACAAGCTTATCTGACGGTGATGATAAAAATGATTTGGATGATAACTGTGCTTCTTCTGCTGTTTCACTAGATATAAATTGTGCACAAACAGGTGTTGTTTCCAAATTAAAATATGACATGGCGGAATTAGAACAAAATGTTTTGAACGAATGTTTGTCAGATGATGATGATGAGCTTGATGATCTTATGATTAAAATGCCATACCCCATTCCATCTCAAAGGTTGCCACTGATTTTAGAAAATGACTCTGATGATATTTCTCAAAGTTCTCGTCATTCTCAATTTGTGGAGAGTGACATGGTCCCAAATGAAAAGCTACAAAATATCAACAACTTTGATGGCGATTCAACTAGGTGCAATAATAATGATAACCATTCCATTAGTAGTAGAAACAATCATTCTATTAGTAGTAGAAACAATCGTCGTTTGACATGTGAAGAATTTATTACTCATCTGCGTTCGGCCAGGGAATCATGTTCCAAGTCTCTGCAAATTAAAACTCATTTCAACAAAGATGAAGATTTGCCAAATTGTGAGAATGAATCTGGTAGTTATGCAGACAAAAAATTAACTGCTGATACAAAATTAGAAGGTAATGCTGAAGTGCAAGCTGCTTCGAAAGATGTCACAGAAGAAATTGTAGTAGATGTGAAAGTGGAGAAGAATAAAAAAAAACGAGTTAAAGTGATTGAAGAGCTCCTGGCAACTGAAGCAACGTATTTCAGACATCTTGAATTAATTGTTTCTGTAAGATATTTTGTCTGTTTTTTGTAGTAAATAATGTAAACTTTGTTGATTGGTTGACTGAATATGAAAATTAACTAGATAGCTATCTAGTCCTCAAGTATTCTGAATGTTCATCAGCAGACATATCATAAGTCTTATAAATTGTTAGAAATTTAAAAGTTTATAATATCAAAATCTAGCTAATCTAATTTGGTTTTATAATTTGCAGTTAATTTTTAATAGTTTTGCATCAATATCAGTTACATTTAGTTACAGTTTCTCTAGATTTTTTAATGGTTTGATGATTTATGTACGTTCCACCTCGGGGAACTGGGTCTCTGGACGATAAACGAAGATTGATTGATTGATGATTTATGTAGGCCTGGGTTATAATTTTTCAACATCATCTGTTCAGTTTGCCCGCTGCTGAGCAAAATGATGATTAAGAGCTGATGTTGGCAAATCACAGATTATTAATTAATTTTAGCAGTAACTTTTTCTTTGAAATAATGAAAAATGAAATCACTTTCTTCCACAGCTGTTCATGCAGCCTCTCATGGACTCACACATAATTCCAGAACCAGCAATAGTTGAGATATTTGGGAACATCCGACTGATAATGTCAGTGAACATGGAGCTGTCGTCGCACATGAGGTCTGAAAGCATCGGGCAGGCCTTCCTCCACCTGGCCCCCTTTCTCAAGTTGTATTCAACGTACGCTCAGAACCATGAGAGAGCCCTGGCCGTTCTTCTGGTCTGGATTTTTATTTCAACATTATTTTCAAATTGGTTGACTTTTCAATAATTGGGTTTTCATTAAATTAATCTTTAGGTCTTATTACTTTTGAGAGCTAAATCAAATGACATAAAATATAACTAATGACTGGTTTGATGACTCAAATTGTTTATAACAGCAGAACGTTTGAAATTTTATTTTGCATTTCAGCACTATATTTACCATCTTCAATCATTACAATAATGCTCCACTAAGACTTCTTTTGTTTTACTTTCCCAATTTTTTGGCTCATCAGATTTTACTTGCTTACATTTTTTGATGTCACTAAATTTATATGTTCACCTGGTGATGTGGAGAAATTAAATTGCTTTTTGTCTTAGTGAAACATTTTTATTGATATATATATATATATATTTTTTTTTATTTATATTATTTTTATTTATATCTCGATCTCCTTATCAATGTCACAATGTTCTCATTCAATGATGGGACTGAATGAGGACATTGTGACATTGATAAGGAGATTGAGATTGCGGTGGTATGGACATGTGTTGAGAAGGGATGAAAGGGTCGGGATTAGGCGAGCGTTGGAGTTCGAGGTTGAAGGAGTGGTAGGAAGGGGTCGTCTGCGATTGGGATGGAGAGAGCAGGTGGAGAAGGACAGGGTGAAAGCGGGGTTGCGTGATACTGAGGTGAGTGACAGATGTGGATGGCGTCGAGGGGTATTTCGGTTTCATCATAGGTAGCCAAACGGCAACCCCTGATCTCGGGGAAAATGTCGTCTAAACGTGTGTTGTTGTTATATTTATATATAGTTAAAGATATGAATGGTTTGATGATGGTTGAAGATAGGAAGAACATGATAAAAGATATACAGATAATATATCTGTAACATTGTAAGTGGTTCTGCATATGTCAGAGCTGCAAAAATAATAAAAGACTAAATATATATATATATATACATATATATATATATATAAATATGTGTGTATATATATATATATGTGTATGTATATATACATATATATAATCAACTGAAAATGTATTAAACTTGCAACACAGGAATGGGATCAGAAGTCTGCAGAGTTTTCCAAGTTTCGTCGTCAACAGGAGGAGTTAGCGGACATGAATGGATTGAAGTTGAATGCTCTTCTCATCACCCCCGTTCAGAGAATTCCTAGGTGGTAATGTCATGACGATGTCACGCATTTTGATGATGTCATGATGATGTCACACGTTTTGTTGATGATGTTTATGATGGTGGTCTTGTAAATTGCGGCAGATGGTGTTGTTGATACTGATTCTAAAGATGTGATGCTTTCGGTTTTAATTACGTTAATTCTCGTTGTGGGATTAAGTTTCTTCATTGTGTGATGATGATGATGACACGAATTTTTTTAAAACATTAGCATATAATTTTAATATTGTCCAATAAAGATATATTGTTAAATAATTTCGATTGATGTATCAGGTACAAACTGCTCCTCGAAGAGTTGCTATCTTGCACGCCTCTCGACCACGATGATTACTGGCCCATTAAAAGTTGGCTCCTTCATCTTCATCCTTCATCTGTTAAATTATTATTTTAGAATTTTGTTTGAGATGAAATGAGTTAGCTTCGTTATGATTGTTATAAGAGAGTAAGTTTTAGTGCGAAGGCTAGAAACCTGGATTTATTTTGTTTCTTCACCACGAACAACAATAATGTTTGAAGGGGTTGAATCATAAACTTTCAGTCATTTTATGAAATTTTTTTTTCATAAGTTTTACAGGAAATTAATGTTTTTAAAAATCTAAAGAGGTGATACTTGGAAATGTTTGCTTACTTTGATGAATATTAAAATTATTTTTGTATTTTTTTTTCTTCTTTTGTAAATTTCTTTTGTACTCTGATCGAACAAATGGCCGACAAACTCAAACAACGACATCCCAGATGCAGTTGTGGAGGTGCAGCACGTGGCAAGTCACATCAACGAGCACATCAGACAGCAGGACAACTTCATGAAGATGCTCGCCATACAGAAATGTTTCAACGCATCCAATGCTCCGAGGATATTCGTTCCCGGCAGAATGTTCATTAAAGAGGGCCCTTTAAGGAAGGTGAGGATTGCATGCAGATGGTAGTTGAAATTATTTAATGGGAAGTTGTTTTTTCGAATGTATCTTCTTGCTGCTGGTTTAAAAGCTTTTCGGTTATTTGTTTTTACGTTACTAAGTCAATATTTACTTCGTAGGTCGGATGTTAATTCTAGAAATAAAGTAAGGTGTTAATATATGGAAAAAAGTTTATAATGACAGATTCTTTAACAAATTTGGGGGGTGCAAATTCTGTGAGATATTTCATTGTAGTTGTAATGGGTTTGTTAGATAATGTAATTGTTAAAAAATTTATCTGTAGAGATTTGTAATGTTGACGAAGGTAAAGTTGGCAGAAGAGATTTTGTGTAAGGAATTGAAAATTACAGTAATTGTGCAAATTTGAATAATATTGATTGAATTAATAAATATATTGTGGACAAGGTCTCCCAACATGGCAACAAATCTCACGAGCGAATGTTCTTCCTCTTCTCAGACATGCTAATGTACGCTAAGCCAACGGCCCTCTCAAACACCACCACCACCAACAACAACACTAACAACAACTGTTATAACAACATTAATAGCAATAACTACCATTCACTTGTGTGTTGTTGCATGCTGCCACTGCATCATTGCAAGGTTGAACAAGTGCTCGGTGGTGCAGATGGACAGGGATTGTTGTTCACTGTTAGTTCATTGTTTCCTTGACGCCATTTGGTCGTTGTTTTCATCGTTTTCATTAACTTGTTGCTCCGTTCATTGTTCTGTTGTTGTTTGATTTATGTTTCCCTAGAATAAATTTACAACACATGTTCAGTAGAAAGGCATGCATTTACTTTTACATAGATTCATAAATAAATTAAACTTATGGAACAAGGTGACTTGCAAAAAGGAACATCTCCTGTTGTTCTCCGACCAGAAGACTGCCAACAACTGGATAACTGTCCTCAACAAACAAATCAGGTTGTCATTTATCTTTCATTTTTAAACGTTTGCGTAACATGCGACGGGCATAACGTAATAAATGATTAACCACAGTGAGATAAGAAGCAGTCGTCAGACACTGAGGAAGAGGAGCAGCGTCCAGCAGCCAATGCGCAGTGAAGGTTTCATGAAGTTTCTCAGACGAAGGAACAACCACAACAACGATGCCGATCATGACGACAATGTTGGTGCTCATTCTTACTGTTTGTAAATCATTTTTTACGTAGATTGGTGCATGAGCCTTCAATTAAAATATCTCATGAACTTGCCTTTCGTCTAATTGCTTAATATAGGTGATGTTAATATTAGCTAGCACAAATGAATACTTTACTTAGTTATTCATTTCATCCAGGCTTTTATAATTTTTCTTAGCTTTCAATTGATTCAATAAATTTGTCAATTCATTGAACTTATAAATCTATTTCGATTGATGAGCAGTTGCACCTTAAAATATTTTAAAAACAAAGCAGACATTCAAGAGTACGCCTGAAAAGATGAAGCAGGCGAAGAAGCACGCGGAGAAGGTGATCAGGAAGCAGCAGCTGTCGCGTCAGAAGCAGCAGTCCATCCTCAGCAAGCTGACGCCATCAACGGCGAACCATGCTGCTGCTGCTGCTAGGAAGCTCAACTGTGATTCGAACAGGTGGACGAGCACGTGCACGCAACAGAACCTGCCCAACAAACACTTCTCCTCTGGCCTGGCCTGTCTGAAGAAAAATAAAAAGAAAATGTTTCTAGAGGATCAAGAAGCGGGGAAACCCAAGGTGGTTGTTAATGTGTTTTTGTGAGCGCGCGTGTGTGTGTATGTATGTATGTGTGAGTGTGTAGGTGTGAGTGTGTGTGTATGTGTGAGTGTGTGTGTACATTAGTGTAAATCATTATGATGTTGTTTCATATGAGATGAACACGTGATATAATTTTCTGTTGGATGAAAGAGTAGTACAATGAATATGGTGCTTGAACATTCGATACCATGTGGCAAATGATTTGATGAATGTAATCAATTTATTTTTGTAATTCTGACAAGTCGTTTACAATTATTTCAAATTTTTTTTACTAAATTTCGTAATCATGACATTGTTGAAATAAATCATTTTTATAAAAGTTTTATAACGAACAATATTCACTCATTGCAGGTGTTTGCTGACTTGACTATCGTAGAGGAGCACCATGGCATATTTGCTGGCAACAACAACATCACGCTGAATGACACTATTGATATAATATCACAACCAAACACGAATTACATAATTAATATTAATAATAACATTAGTGAATTCAAGCGAGATATAAAAAGTGAAAAAGACGACATGAAAAGCCCAGTTCCCAGCAGTGCTACCATGCAATCAACTCACTCGACAACTCCAAACAAACACGTTGGCAGGGCAGATGTTGAAACGTCCCATAAAAACATTAATAATAATTGTGTAATTACGCCAAAAACACCAAATCAGGTTTCGGCATCGGCTAACAAAGCTGCTTTTTCTACCAGAACGTTGAATAAGTTCATTTCCAAGACAATATACAGGAGACATGAATGTGGTCGCCCAACGCCGTCGCCATCCAAGCTAGCAACGCAGACACCAACAGCATTGGAATCGACCGCTACTTTTACTAAACAAATGCCAGCAACAGAAACTAGAGTTTCAGCTATAAAGAAATCTTTCATCCACCAGAGAACAAAATCATACAACGACTGCAGCAGCAGCAGTAGTAGTACAATTCTCTCAAACACTGACCGACCTAAGAAAACTTCCGTTGAATTGAATTTGCCGAGTGGTCAACGTGTTGCTACAGCTTGTGATTATCGAGACTCAGATGCTAGTCATGAACAAATTGATCGTGATCAATTAAGGTTGAGCTTGAAAAGGAGTCAACCGAAAAAACTTGATGCCAAAAATTTTCCAACAACTCCTCGAAGTAACAGTGTTTTTGCATCAAAATTGATTCGAACGCCCTCAAAATTATTTTCTTCGCCGGCAGATTCAATCTCACCATCTCCGATTCTTGCAAGAAGCAGCAGCAAACAAGGGAACATCGGCGAATTCAACTGTTACTCACCTCTCACAAATGTAGAAGCATCGAGTAACTCTAACAACATTTATCAGTGTGAAACCAGAGGAACGGTTGAACCGGGTGAGTTCGACAATCGCAACAATAACGAAAACATCAACCCCAGAGACACCGTAGGAGAATGTGACATGGCAATCAATCTATCCCCTTTCCTTCGCATGGATTGCAACATTTCGAGAAACGTTACAATTAGGAAACGTTCGAAACTACTGCGGTCATCAACCCTCATCGTAAGGAAGGATCTGCCAAGAGTGAGCAAGGATAGTGGTTGCTGCAGCGATATCATCGGGGCTAATGAACTCAACCGCTATCACTCTGCTCCTGGGCAAGAGGATGGTCATGCTGATGTTGATGGTAATAATTATTATGATGGTGACAGTGACGAGGCTGAAGCCTGTGTGCTTAGGAATTTATCATTCAAACTAGCACTATCAGAAAATTGATGTTGCTTCTGTTTCATTGATGGCTTAAGTTTTCTGCAAAATAACTATTTTAGTTTTTTTTTTTTTCTTTCTGTTTCGATTTTCTCTCCATTCCCCTCCCTCTCTCCTCTTTTTCTCTCCCCCCCTCTCTCTCTTTCTCTATAAAAATTTATTTTAAATTGATAGGTGATTGCTTTCATACCTAACATATCAGTTTATTTTTTTTACCACGTTGCAATTTTACTGACCAGTCTAAATTTATATACATTAACAGAGTAGTAGCTACATAATATTTTTTTTTATTAACATATGATGTCTCGATTATTTCGTTGAGAGGATTGTGAAATATTTAAATGCACTGCTTTTGACTTTTCCAATTTGAAATCTTATTTTTTCTACTTTAGGATGTTGCAATCATGTATAGGTAATATGCTATAAATATATATGAATTTATTTATTATTCTTTTATTTTATGTATGTATTAATATTTATGTATAGGACTCAAATTAGCTTATTCTATTATTTAACAAGAATCAATATGCCCCATTAAATATTTTCATCAAATGTTGAATCATGTTTGATATATATTGCGTACTACATTGAAGATTTTTTTAAATTTACAATGATTTCTTCATTTTTTTAGTAAAAGATTCTTAAAGAATCGAATTGATTTTTTAACACTTATAAAAAAAGTTCATTTCTGAGCAACTACTTCTTTTCATTTTTCAATTTTTCCCTAACGCGCAAAACAATTATAAATCTCGATTCACAGTAAGGACAATACCCAAAAATGTCATGCCATTTGAAATCAAGCGATTTTTCGCTTCCATTTTAATGGCTCATTTTCTTCCCTTATGCCATCAGGATGTGCGCCAGTCTTGTCAGAAAATTCCTCATCTATCGTCAATATGAACTCATTCCCAAGTGTAAAATCAGTTTTTGCGTTAAAAAATAAAAGGAACTGTCTTAACTCACAGCCTATTTACTTTTTCATTTTTGTTTTGAGATGATTTTTCTTTTTCGAACTGAAGCCCCTTCATCTATCGTCATAATGACACGCATAAGTAAAAGTTGAGATACAAATGCATCTGTTTGTTTCTTCATGAGTTTCGCTCTTATTTTCAATAAATTAATAGTGAAAAATAAATAAATAAAAATATTTTCATTTTTACTTTATATTCTGGCAAGTTCGGCTACTCATGTTTTATTACTTTCATTTGTTATTGCATGTGTTATTATAAAATGAATGCAGTTCCTTCCCTTGTGCTTTCAGCCAACTTTATCTTGAAAATGTTTTAAAATATGGTTATAACAAAATTTATTTTATAAGAACTTGTTGCAGAGACCATAATTTATTAGAACGTGTTGCAGAGACCAGGCGTCGTGTTATCATTGAAGAGCATGTTTGCCGGACTTAACAAGGTTTGATAACCTACCTTTCATATTTATTTTAGCCATACATACATGACCTCAGGTATAATTATATGCACGTGTTTTGTTCGTGTGTGCGTGCAAGTTAATCGTTTGCAGGAGAAATGTTGTTGATATGAAGGCATTCTGTTTGGTACGGATATACAGAAAGTGTATGATTCGGTACAGTATTGGCCTGCTGCTCTTTCATTTCTGGACCTCTTCTCATTATAAAACGTGATTTGCATTTTAACCTTACAGCACGCACTAGCCATCATCCTCATCATCCATTCACCCATAATAAATAAAACAATTGAGAAACAAATAATCATTAATTTCTTGCCTTACAAAATTATAACTTGTTAAAATATATTATTAGTAGCAAAAATAACAACAGTAATGTTAATTTATTGCGTGAGATTAGCCATCCGATGCATGTTGCCGACTGAACGATTGATACAGAACGCTGATTCACCCGGCCTTTGCATCACGATTCTTCGTGTTTAGTGTTTATGCAAATAGAAATTTTCTTCCCCATCAACGTCAATTTCTTACAGACACACACATACATTCACACTAACACAGACAGACACACACACACACATACATTCACACTCACACAGACATACACCAAAACAGACACAAACTTTTACACATTGATCAGCTTATTTTTTAATTCTAATACACTCGTCTATTCATTCATTTCTTCGCACAGCATAACATTCATACACGCCATTATTTAAAATTTGTTTATTTTATGCAACCAAGTGCACACCAATTAATCACTGATCAGTTTATTTGTATCTGACAGCTTCAATGCCTTTGTTTCGTGAACTTTTTTTTGACTCCGCTCATTTGGCTATGATTACAATGTATTCATCTAATTTTATCCATCTACCCATAATTCATTCAACCATCAGTCTATCTATTCATCCATCAGTCCATCCATCCATCTATCCATTCATTCATCTATCCATCCATTTATTCATTCACAATTGTTCTTTTAATTTTTCATCATTATTAATAGCAACTTTTTAGTTAGATAGTTATTTTTAATGTTAAATTTCTAATGTAAACATACGAACCTTGGTGAAGTTTCAATTAATTCATTTACATGCATTAATTCATACATTCATACATACATACATACATACATACATACATACATACATACATACATACATACATACATCTCTTAGCATAAGTTCAAGTATCGGCAACTATTAGCTAACAACATCTGTTCAAGTCTATTTACTTCTCCGTCGATTTTACCAAAATATTTTTGTAAAAAAAAATTTATTTTGAGTTCGAGTATCTTGAGTTGTATCTGTAATCTGTATCTTGAATAGTACACGCAGTACCTAACACCCGAATTTATCTAACCAACGCACACACACACAATCACACACATACACACACAACACAAAATTGATGCAGTCTGTTTTTGATTTACGATCTATTACCATTGTTATAATATCAACCTCTGTCTTTATCAGCATATATAATTTATTTTCACCATTATGCATACATATCAAATGTTCGTGTTTTTAGTTATTTTTATTCATATCCAGTGTTTATCTGAAATATTACTGTTGGCTTTCTGTATTTATCGCTATGTTTCATACACTCGATGCGTTGCACGTTTCTTCTTATGTTACTTAACTGGTCTACAATAAGCGAACAGACGGTTTTATTTTATTTTTGGTTAAAATATTCAAAATATAAAATTATAAAGGTTCATAGTAAAACTCTTGCCACACACAGAGAGCGAGATAGACATATTGTTAGTGACGCTAAAGACAGTTGGCAATTCATTACAGACTTCATAACGGCTTCTGTTGCATCCTAGTCTCGTTTCTAAAAAATAGTTTCTTTGAAGAAATTCAATCAACAGACATCTTATGAATGAGTGCAGTGCATGCATTGCAATGCATTATCATTTTCACGTTTTAATGCTTCGTCTTTCAAGGCTAACATGAAAACAAATGCTTTCAGATGAGGTGTAGTTTACAAAAATGTTCAAAAAGTGAAAATAACACCAAAAAACACCAAATGTGTATGCATACATACGTACGTTTTACCAAAACATTATACTTATACGTTTTACGGTATATATTTAAACTTGTATTTTATATATTGACGTGTACCCAACTGTTCACTTCTACATCTAACAACTTGATTATTAAAATCTGATTCATTCATCTCAATCATATAAATCAGGCCATGTAATTATGCGAACCAAACGACCCGATTATACTAAATGAGCAACAATTCTCATGAATAATTGCGGGTTATGTTGCTTGAAAGTTGTCCAATTAATCTTCACACCACGTAGAAAACAACATAAAAACATTATCTTAAATTTACAATACCAAATAACTCGAAAAATTTTTCAATGTCAATAATCTTTTTTTTTTGAGAAGGCATGCACAGAATTCGTTGGGATCACGTTCGCCGGAAATGCGCGAGTGAGAATGGATGAGTGGAATTAAAAGAGCTGCCATATTCAAAACCTCAACTTCCATAGGTAATTAGTATGTCAAAATAAATATATGTGCATATATATATATAATGTGTGTATGTCTATATATATATATATATATATATATATATATATATATATATATGCGTGTATGTGTTTGTTTGTTGTTGTTTATGTGTGAGTGTGTGTTTGTCTGCTGTATGTGTACGTATCTCCCAAACACACGCAAGCTGTTTTGAAAAGAAATTTTTCAAATTCTACACTTTTTCGTGATTTTTATTGGCTGCCGTTTAATTAAGGCATTCATTAAATCTATCAACATCACCTCTGCCTTGTTATTTGTTTGTTCGTTCATTCATTCGTTCGTCCGTTCCTCATTATTCACTTATTCTTTCACTTATTCAGTTAGTCAATCAGCGAGTCTTTCATTCAATCTGTAGGCCTATCTGTATACCTTCTTCATCACCTTATATTTCATTTTAGAAAGTTGGTTGAACGCATCAAATTGCTCAACATTCACCCTCCATAGAATCGACACGTACATACGTGCATGCATATGCTAACGAACCTCTTATTGACAGGAAAACCTAACTGCATCGTTGTGGTACACCTACGCCAGGAGTGAATGAATGAATTAACATTTTGGACAGGTAACTGGATAAGTAGAATATCGAAAAATTATTATTTTGAAGCAATATGCTTACAAATTAAATAAAAATTAAAACATTCAAACTTTATTTTTTTATTTGTTCTCTGCAGCTAACTTATGAATAACATCTCTCCATCAATCACTCTAATCATCAGAACTCTAGAGAGTAGAGATAGTCACACTACTCATAAAAATAACAATGAAACTTTAGTACGTTTTAAACTTAATACGTATTTTATTGCATCAGCATTTTTTTGCTTTCATGCAACTGTTCTGTGCAATTCATGTAGGATTGCCTTTATTTTACACACAAATAATATGTCTAATTTCATCAGAGGCGTTGCCAAAAGGACAGCTTCAGCGCTTCACTTCAACTCCCACAAATTTTTTGCCTAATCTAACCAACGCTCATTGAAACAAATTTTGAAACAATTAAAATAAAAAAATTTTTATACGAGAAATAATTGAGAACATGCTGGCTGGGAACATTTTTATAAACGTTTGTGAAACTCGTAAGCTTCGCCAAAGCAAATTTCTGACTACATCACCACTTATTAATAAGTACTTTATATTATTTATAATAAACCAGTTGAAAGTACTGCAAAGAAAGTACCGTTGAACTTTGGGCTGCAGACGCACTTTGTTTAGAACGAGAAGCTACAGTTCATGGATATATATAGACATATATATTATAACCATGTTACAGTTTAACGATGAACTATCGATGAATTTTTTGCTTGCCGTCAACTTAAGGGGCAAAAAATTTACTGAGAGCTTTTCAATTTTTCAAAGTTTTGCAGTTTGGGGAAGAATAAAATGGAATCAAAAAATATTTGGCATTGATTGTTGCTTTATTTAAATTATAAAACCAGAAGAATTTTGATTATGCAAAAGCCATCAGCAGAATAAAATCAAATTTATTTAAATTAAAATGAGAATTCTAAAAAAATGCAATCCTTTTTGTAGTACTTTTTGGAGATGCAATCAATTTAATCATTTATCACCATCATACATAGCGATATAAACTTACATTTCGTGTAATCAAATTACATTCCACGTAATTAAACGACTGCCTGTTGTTAGTGGTCCCGATAAACAAGTCAAGCAACATTTCTAGACTACATAACACTTGAATTAATGGATCAAAAGTTCTAAGATCAAACAACC